TATGTTAGAAAGTAGCCAAAAAAATAAAACTCTATCTGTGAATTTTGGTCCAGCTCATGTTATGTGAAAAAGGTGCATGGTTTTGGAATTCCTTCCTAGCTGAATGAAGGGAGAATAAATTATTTATCTGGGCACATGCCTGGCACACAGTAGGTACTCAACAACTGTGTATTAAATATGAGTTATTCAGTAAAGCTGGGCCTCACTGCCTTTAAAATAAAGAGTACAGCTGTGAAGCCTGAAGGCAGAAGGTCTGGATTTGGGGCCTGGCTCTGCCCTTTATAGATTCTGGTTTCCTCATTTATCCTCTCTCAGCTCCACTTCTCCAATAAACTGGAAGCAACAGCGAGCAAGGTTCCAATCCAGGCCAGCCGCAGAGAGAGGCTGTAGTGGTTTCAGGCTGTGGCCAGGCTCCAGGAAAGAGGGACCAGGTGGAGTGGTGCTGTCTCCCAGGGTACTGGCCTCAGGGTGGAAGGTTACGTGCTGCACGTTTGCCATTGCAGGTCTGAGTCATCTCTAAGACCTCTTAGTTTTGTTAATCTGCAATCATGAAGGTGCTCGGGTTGGTAGGCACAGAATTTTAGAAGTAATTTCCATGGCTTTGTGGAATTTGTGTTTTATCTCAGAGGTGTCTTTTCCTCTAAGACCCAAAAAATAATGAGTCAGATACCTGTACACAGAAGAAACCTGTGTTAGTTTATAGGTGAGAAAACACCCTGACAGTTCTCCCAGCCTCTTCAGGAAGTTGAGAGTGATTACTTTTCACAATAGTATTTCTCCATTTTGTAGAGAAAGGCTTTGAGTCATTACAGGTAGAATTATCAGCCTTAGGTCATCTGTAGGTATAGGCATGTAATTTAGGTCACTTTTAACTTGTTTTCCATAAAAGGAGTAGTCATGGCTAACTCAGGCATTTGTGCCTCACACAGCCTTTTTCCTGTCCCCAGCGACCTTCATCCGCCATTGTTAACAGGAAGAACTATGGAGGAATTAAATTTAATGGAATTGAATTGAGCAGAGAAGGATTCCCATATTTGACAGCCCTCAGAACCTAGCAGGTCCTCAGAACTCCAGCCTTGGTCAGGACAGAAAACAAAAGTGGCACACACAGACAGCTTAGTTGGTTAGAGTTTAGCATTTTGCCTTCTTTAAATCAGCCAGCCTGCTGTGATCATCTGATGCTCAGCTCTGTATTTGAGGAGTCACAACTACTCCATAAGGACAGAGACGCTCTCTGAGAAGTGCAGCATTTGGTGATTCTGATTCTAGGAAGTAAATTCTCAAGAGTGTGTCACACAGACAGAGCTGGAGTAGATAAGGCCTGTCCTGGGCCTCCATGTGGTCCAGAGATCGAGAAAATGTGAGGTGTGAGGCTGTGCCCAGTGGAACTTAGCATATTGTTGACAATAAACTTTTTTTTTGTACCAGGGATTGAACTGAGGAACTCTCTATTGCCAGGTAGGTGCTAGGCTGCTGAGCTAAATCCCTGGCCCAAGTAAACTTAAAAAAAAAAGAGAACACTTTAAAATGATGAAGAGTAAGTGAACACATAAGCCAGCACTATACTTGTTTATTGTCATTATCAAGTAGAATGTGCTCTGTGATCGTACCATGATATTTAAATATGCCTGGCAGAGCAGTGGGTGTGTCTGCAGCAATGTTACCATGCACAGGCTTCATATGTTCTGCTGTGACCTCATATGGGCTATGACCACTGTGTGATAGGAATGTTTCAGCTCATTATTGTCTTAGGGGACCACCACGGTAGATGTAGCCCCAGCTGGGGACCCTTGACTTAGGCTTTCATTGGTTTCCCAGCTAAGTCAGACTGCAGCTCACAAAGGAAGAGCTTACATGCAGAGGCTTTCTTAGGCCAAACTCTTATCTCACCCCATCGTACTAGACTTGCTGTTTCTGGCAGATGTTCTCTGTGCCTGGCTCCCATGAAAGGCCTTGTGCATTCATTGTTACCTCTAGTGATTCTCATAGAAGCTTTAGCTGACCAAACCCTACAACCTCCTGACCCTCTCTACTCCACGTTCTCCTGTGTGGCCACCACAGCCAACAGGCAGCTAGTGAGCAAACATTTCACAAAATATGCTCTGTGCCCTTTGCCTAGCCTTTGTTTTTTTCTTTTTTGTAGTTCTGGGATGAACTCAGGACCTTGCACATGTTTGACACGAGCTACACCCCTAGCCCTCTCCTCCTCACCTTCAATGTCAATCTGGGGTAGGGGTCCTTGGGTGTGAGGCTCACTTAGAACAGAAGCTTTTAAATGCTCAGAACTTCTCAGATAACATCACACCATAGAAAATGAGTAGACCTGGAAAAGAGTCTGGATTTTAGTCTTGGGTTTCCTCTTCTTTCATTGTATCACCTTGGTTTTTTTGTGAGCCAAGCAGATGGCTGTGAGAAACAAAAGGGAGACAGTTTGAAAGTGCTGGTACAATACCTGAACATCACAGGGTTCCATACATGCTAGTTTCTTCCTCTCATGAAAAAAATCACATCACAGAATAATGACTTCAAAATGTCACATACCAAGAAATAACCCCAAAGTTAAAAGTGCTTGAAGTTAAAAGTGCATGATGGTGTGTGTTGCTGTTGTTTAGCAGTTCTTGCTGCAGTGGAGAGGAACAGAGGTCTCCAGAGCCCTTGGAACTGGCCAAGAAAGGAGGTGACAGGGAAGAAGGGAAACAAGAAGGAAAGTTTTTTCTAATAAAGCTAAATATAAATTAATATAATAAACAAGAGGTAAATGATGTGGGCCAGGAATGGTGCTAGACATGTTTTTATATTAACACTTTGAAATTCCATATTAATTGGTTCTGGGAAGTGTGATGAATACCAAAAACCGTCAGTGCCATTTTGGCTAGAAAGGGTGGTGATCAACACTGACAGGTTCTACTTTACTCATCAGTGCCAAACAAATGATGTTGAGTTCCAGTTTTCACGAGTTTCAAAGCAGTTGAAGACCAAGGCATGACAGTAGCTTCTTACGCCCTGCACTTAGATGTAATGAACGGAATCCAGGAATATCGCAATCTGCAAAGGGAGCTGGTATAGACAAACTGGGTTGGAAGGCCACACGAACCCTTCACAGAGACTCTTCTGCAGAGTCAGCACCTTCAGGATGTGCTCCTACCTGTCCTGGAGCCCTCATAGGGCATGAGGGGTGGTCTCCTGGGGGCAGCCTGTCTGAGGACCAGGGCACAGGTCTCTGCTGGAGACTACTCTCACAGTAAGCTGGAAGTATCCTGGCTCAGTGTGAGGGCAGAGGAAGTCCAGGCTGCACCCCATCTCTCAGCCACCTTGTTGTTCTTCTGTTTCTCACCTGTAAAGAAAAAGCTTGGACTCTGGTTAAGAACCCTCTGCAGGAAGGTTTTGTGGAGTTTCTGACAACCCCAGCCTGCCCAGGCACTGTATTCTTTCTTTCTTTTTTTTTTTTTTTTTTTTTTTGAGACGGGGTCTCACTATGTAGTTCAAACTGCCCTGGAACTCACTATGTAGCCCAGGCTGGTCTTGAACTCACAGTGATCCTCCTGCCTCAGCCTCCTGAGTGCTGGGCTTATAGGCATGTGCCACCGTGTCCAGCAAGGCACCGTAATCTTTATACAGAGGACTGGAAATATCCTAAATGTCCCTGACCCTGGCCTCTGCCCTCATTTCTGCAAGATATCCCTGGTCTGTTTCTCCTGTCTAGAGATGAGAAACTGTGGCTCAAAGTTATCACAGTCACTCATGCTTTGCATTTGATGATTTCATCAACAGTGACTTTCCCGAAAGCCAGGAAGTTCAGTGGGTGAATAGACCAAGTGACTTGTGCAGGGTGCCAAGAGAGCTTGAGTCACTACTGTAATGGCTACAGTGCATGGTTGAGTCTGCTGGGGCACTGCATTCCCTGACTGCTGATGGGGATCAAGTTGGTGTTTTCTGAGAGCAGTCAGGTATATATGTATTGACAGCCTTACCATCCTCCTGACTTTTACTCAGGAATTCTGCTTTCTGAAGTCATCACAGGAAATAGCAGAACTTCTGTCAAAGATGTTAGAAAAAGGTTGCATTGTAGTAGAATTATAGTCCAGGGCCCATCAATGATCCTATCAGAGGGGCTTTGTGTCCTGCATTATTTGCAGAACTGGAGAGAAACCCAGGTCCTAGAGCACTTAGGCAACCTATCCGCCACTGAGCCTCCTCAGCCCAGGTCAGCTTCTTTTCAAAGCCCTTCCTGTCCATTTCTTTCTCATTTCAAGGCATTCAATGAGTTATGATAGAACTCATTTAGAATCATAATGTTGAACATACTGAATATATTCTGCAATATCTTTCATTTTGCAACATGGAAAGGGAATTCTTTTTCTCTTTCAAAAACTGCCACCAGTGAATTTATGGTAAATTTGCTTTTCACTTGTACCTGCTTCTTGGCTGACTTTTTCTCCTCTGGGAGGAGAACCAGTCTCTCTGCAGATGTAAGTACAGTGGATGGGAAGGGGGAAACTAGGACTTAAGGGAGCCCTGTGATGGCTCAGGTTTTGATCTGGGCATTTTATAAGCTTCTGTCCTCGTGGGCTCAACAGGGACTCAGACAACAACTTGCAGGGGCCCAGCAGACTTCCTCGACAAGATGCAAGACTGGTGCATTAAATACACAGATGGGTAGATAACTGGAAGGCATTCTAACTCCCACGTTCCCTGGCCACAAATGACTACTGTACTTACAGATAAACTCTTGGAATAGGTTTATTGTGTGTTGAGAACTGAGCCATGTGGATTGTTTTCCAAATGATTTGTCTTCTATTTTGACACCATTTGTTTCAGGTTTTAAATCCACAGTTACTATGTCTACTTAAGTTTACTTCTAAATTTCCAGTTTAGGCCCATTGATACAGATATTCCTATATGAGCACTATGTGCTCATTATTATAGCTTTATAATGTCATATAAAGTATAATTCTGTAGTTACAACTTGGGATTGATTTTCTCTATATTTGTTGGAACAGATGAAATTTAAATGTAGAATCATGCCACAAAAGCACCACATCTGGATTTTGACTGGGACCACATTAAAAACTTTCTGGCAGGGTGGGTGCACTACCTCCTGGACTGTCCGCCACCAGATCCAGTAAGGACCCAAGGACCCCAGAGGAGGTCTCTCCAGCTGCCTGCCCGGGACCACCCGGCGGGTGCACGACTTCCTGGACTGAGCACCACCAGATCCAGTAAGGAAGGTAGTCTCGCGGGCGCCCTTGAAACACCCCCCACGACCTGCTCTCTTCCCCCCACCATTTTCAAACCTCCTAATTCCGCCAGTCCTTGGACCAACTCTGCAGAGGCATAGGTTCTCATGAAGGGTAGTTTTCTGAGCTCCCAACATTGAACATCTTTAAAGAAAGGGCAGGGGAATCCTGTAATAGAACTGAGTGGAGTTCAACCCTGTGGGTTGGGAAGCTCTAGTTAGGCCTTGTGGACTGAGGTCAGTCTCAGTCATGGGGACCTGCCATTGGCTAACCGAGACCAGGGGATCCAGTTCTGCATATGGCTGTACATGTGGTATAATATGACAACATAGACATAGTCTGAAAGAGGCCCTTCAAATTCTTTTTTTTTTCTTTTTCTTTTCCTCATTCCACCCTAAAATTTTTTTTCTGTCCTCTCTCTCCAACTCAGTCTCTTGCTCCACCATATTATCTCTCATCTCCATTTTATTCCTGCTCCTGCCCTAACTCAGACTTCTTCTTTTCTTATTTTTCCTTTTTTTGGGGGGGATCTTTTGTTTTGTTTTGTTTATGTTCTTTTCTCCAGTCATTTTACCTTACTCATGGCTCCATAGCTTCAAGGGAAGACAAGCACCTGTTACTGTTAAGAGGATATATTCTTGTCCTTATTCCTGCACTCTGTCTATCCCCTCTGAAGTTAATAGCTTCATAAAGATAGTAAGGTCATTCTACATCCTCTGGTTTCACTTCCAACCTGCTCCACTTCTTTCCCTTATCTACTCCTCTCATCTTAACTCAGTCTAACCCCCCATCCTAAATGGTAAAGATGCTATATTGAAAAGCATATTCACCGCAAACATATTTTGGGCTGCTTCTTGATATTAATTTAATTCACATGGTTTAAAGGTGATAGATTAATGACTACCACAAGTGGTCAGTTTGCAAGCTGTGCTTGATCCTATTGGGCTGCTGAATGTATCAATTGGGATAAAGCATTGTGATTGATTTAATGAGTTGTTTTCTCTGATATTATGAATATGAGGATGTCTATGAGTCATTAGAAACTCAAAAGCTAAAACGCAACTATATCAGGAAGATTTAAGTAATACCCAGAAATTAAAGAAGGACAACTCAACACCAAAAATAAAAATGAGAAAACACTTAAGCAAGACACAAAGACAGATTTCCAGTTCACCAGTGGCAAACAGTAGGACAAATGAGGATGAAAAGTCTGATAGGGAACCAGCAGGACACCCTGGACCCATAGCACAGGAGGTAACAAAACAGATCAATCAGGCTCTAGAAAAATTCAAATCAGAAATAATTTATCATTTAACCATGGAGATGATGAGCAAAATGGAAGTCATGATTCGAGACTCTAGAACAGAAACAGACAAAAAAATAGATGAGCTCAAGACCATGATAGAAGTCATGAAGACTCAGCATAAGAAAGAAGTGAAAACAATGACTGCCCAACAGAAGAAAGAAATGGAATCCATAAAACAGATTCAAACAGATATCCAGGAGATTAAAAACTCTATTGAAAGTGTACATAACAGAATAAAAGATTGCAAAGATAGAATTTCAGATATAGAAGATAGGATCGCAGTCAGTGACTGTGAAAAAAGAGGTGTCTCAAAAACAGTAAGGGATCATGAGAAATCAATCCAACAACTTCTAGACCATGCAAAGAAAAATAACATAAGGCTGATAGGAATTCATGAAAAAGCAGGAGAAAACGCAAATGACCTAAAAAAGCTCTTCACAGAATTAATGACAGAAAACTTCCCAAACAGAAGGGAAGAATTAGACATACAGATAAGTGAGGTATGTAGAACTCCATCTAGCCACAATAAAAAAAAATCTACACTTAGACATATAATAATCAAGATCCATAAATCCAACAGAAAAACAAAATACTACAAGCAGTAAGAGAAAAGAAACAAATCACATGCAAAGGAAAGCCCATTAGAATCACAGCAGACTTTTTAACACAAACCCTTTGGTCAAGGAGAGCCTGGATTGTGGTAATCCAAGTCCTAAAAAAAAATAACCTCCAACCTAGACTGATGTATCCTTCAAAACTCTCTTTCAAAATAGATGGGGAAATAAGATAGTTCCATGACAAAGAACACCTGAGAAATTTCATGACCACCAAACCAGCACTGCAAGGAATTCTAAATAATATCCTAGAAAAGGACAATGAAGGTCACAATACCATGAGGCCCAACAGACCAAATCAAATAGGCAAGGCAAGAAACTAAAAGGAGATAGGAGAAAAAGTAAAAAGAGTCAACAAAAGGACAATAACATGACAATAATAAGTAAGACTATATCAGTTATAACCATCAATGCTAATGGCCTCAATTCACCAATCAAGAGAAATAGACTGGCAGAATGGATTAATAAGCAAAATTCAACAATATGTTGTATACAAGAAACACACCTAGTGCAAAAGGAAGCCCATAGACTGAAAGGGAAAGGATGGAAAACAATTCTCCATGTGACAGGAGCCCAGAAAAAATCAGGGGTAGCAATCTTATTTTCAGATAAAGTAAATTTCAAACCAAAACTCATTAAGAGAGACAAAGAAGGACACTACATCCTTGTAAAGGCAACAATTCAAGAGGAAGAGGTGACAATCATAAACATATATGCACCAAATATAAATGCCCCTAACTATATAAAACAAATATTAAGTAACATGAAAAACCAAATAAGCACTAATACAATTTTAGTGGGGGATTTAAATACCCCACTATCACAAATAGACAGATCATCTAGGCAAAAATTCAACAATGAAATAATAGAACTGAACCAATTTTTGGAACACATGGACTTAATAGATGCATACAGAGTATTCCACCCCACAAAATCAGAATATACATTCTTTTCGGCTGCACATGGATCATTTTCCAAGATAGACCACATATTGGCTCACAGAACAGGTCTGAATAAATGCAAAAGAAGTGAAGTCATCCCCTGTATATTATCAGATCATAGTGCAATCAAACTGGAGATCAATAGCACAAGAAACTGTAGGAACTTCACAAGCACATGAAAACCGAACAACACTCTCCTAAAAAATCAATGGATTACAGAAGAAATTAGACAGTTTTTACAAATAAATGAGAATGCCAATACAACATACAGGAATCTATGGGACACAATGAAAGCAGTTCTACGGGGAAAGTTCATAACATTGAATGCCCACACTAGGAAAACAAAGCAGGCTCAAATAAACAACTTAATGATGAAACTTAGACTCCTAGAAAAACAAGAGCAAGAAAAACCCAAAGCTTGAACAAGAGAGGAAATTATAAAGATCCGAGCAGAAATCAATGCAATTGAAACTAAGAAAATGATACAAAAAATAAATGAAACAAAGAGCTGGTTTTTTGAAAGAATAAATAAAATTGACAAACCCTTAGCTAATCTTATCAAAAAAAGGAAAGAAAAGGCTCAGATACATGCAATCATGAATGAAAAAGAAGTCACAACAGATCCAAAAGAAATCCAGAAGATCATGAATACCTACTTTAAGAACCTGTACTCCAATAAAATGGAAAACGCAGAAGAAATGGACAGATTTTTAGATACTTATGAATTACCAAATTTGAACAAAGAAGATAAAAACATTTTAAACACCCCAATTACAGTCAGTGAAATTGAAAATGTAACTAAAAATTTACCAACAAAGAAAAGCCCAGGCCCTGATGAATTCACTGCTGAATTTTACAAGACATTTAGAGAAGAACTACTGCCATTACTCTTCAAATTTTTCAATGAATTTGAAAGGGAAGCTATACTTCCAAATTCATTCCTGGAAGCAAGTATCACTTTGATTCCCAAACCAGGGAAAGATGCAACTAAAAAGGGGAACTACAGACCAATCTCCTTAATGAATATAGATGCAAAAATCCTTAATAAGATACTAGCAAACAGAATACAGAGGATTATCAAGAAGATCATCCATCCTGACCAAGTCGGATTTATTCCAAAGATGCAAGGGTGGTTCAACATACGAAAGTCAATAAATGTAATACATTATATTAACAAAGTCAAGGACAGAAACCATATGATCCTCTCAATAGATGCAAAAAAAGCATTTGATAAAATTCAACACCTTTTTATGATAAAAACCCTGCAAAAAAATTGGAATAGATGGTCTATACCTCAACCTAATAAAGGCTATCTATAAAAAACCAACAGGCAACATCATATTAAATGACCAATAACTGAAAATCTTCATGTTAAAATCAGGAACAAGACAAGGATGCCCATTATCACTACTCCTCTTCAATATAGTTCTGAAAACATTAGCCACAGCAATTAGACAAGAGAAAGAAATTAAATCAATAAAGATAGGAAAGGAAGAAGTTAAACTATCATTATTTGCTGATGATATGATACTCTACAGTGAAGACCCAAAAAACTCCACCAAAAGACTTCCAGACTTAATTGACAGGTTCAGTAGAGTATCTGGATATAAGGTGAACAACTAAAAATCAATAGCCTTCTTATACACAAATAACAGACTCACTGAGAGAGAAATAGGGAAAAAATTCCTTTTACAATAGCATCCAAAAAAATGAAGTATCTAGGAATCAACCCAACAAAAGAAGTAAAAGATCTCTACACTGAAATCTACAGTACTCTGAAAAAAGAAACTGAAGTGTATATTAAAAAAAAGGAAAGATATCCCCTGCTCCTGGGTAGGAAGAATCAACATAGTGAAAATGGCCATACTACCAAAACTGCTATACAGATTCAATGCAATCCCTATTGAAATTCCAACACCATACTTCACAGAACTAGAAAGAAGAATCTAAAAATTCATTTGGAACCAGAAGAGACCTAGAATAGCAAAAGCCCTCCTAGGCAACAGACATATGGCAGCGGGTATAACAATTCCCAATCTGAAACTATACTACAAAGCCACTGTGATAAAAACAGCATGGTACTGGCAAAGAAACAGGCCTGAGGATCAGTGGAACAGACTGGAAGACACAAAAAACAACTCCAGATGTACTCAGCTACCTCATCTTTGACAAAGGAGCTGACCATCCTCAGTGGAGGAAAGATAGCCTCTTTAATAAATGGTGTTGGAAAAACTGGATGTCAACCTGCCACAGATTAAAATTAGACCCTTATCTTTCACCATGCACTAAATTAAAATCCAAAACGATTAAAGATCTAAATATTAAAACAGAAACATTAAACTTGCTGGAAGGTAAGTTAGGCAGAACTCTAGAAGACATTGGCATAGGAAAAGACTTTAACAAATCCTCAGTAGCACCGGAACTAGCAGATAGAATCAACAACTGGGATCTCATCTTACTAAAAAGCTTCTGCACTGCAAAAGAAACCATCAGCAGAACTAAGAGACAATCTACAATGTGGGAAAAAATTTTTACCAGCTGCTCCTCAGACAAAGTACTATTATCAAGAATATATAAAGAATTCAAAACAATCAGCCCCCCCAAATATAAAGACCTGATTCAAAAATGGGCATCCGAAATGAACAGACATTTCTCAGACAAACAAGTAAAAGCAGCAAGTAAATATATGAAAAAATGTTCCACATCACTGATCATTTGAGAGATGCAGATGAAAACAGCACTGAGATTCCACCTCACCCCACAAAGAATGGCTGCTATCAAGAAATCACACAATAACAAATGTTGGCGGGGTTGTGGGGAGAAAGAAACGCTTCTCCATTGTTGGTGGGAGTGCAGACTGGTGCAACCACTATGGAAATCAATATGGAGATACCTCAAGGAATTAGAATTAGAGGTCTCATTTGACCCAGCTATTCCTCTGCTGGGTATCTTTCCAGAAGAATAAAAAGAATCATATCACAGTGATATATGTGCACCCATGTGTATAGTGGCACAGTTAGTAATAGCTAAAACTTGGAAACAGACCATTTGCCCATCCATTGGAAACTGGATAAAGAAGATGTGGTTTTTCTATAAAATGGAATATTAGCCATAAAGAACAAGAAAATAGATTCATTCATAGGAAAATATATATATATTGAAAATATACTCCTAAGTGAAATAAATAAGACACATATATGTAAGTACTAAATAGTTTCTCTGGTTTCTTATTAGAAGATCCTAATAAGATTACTGACACTTAGAATTGGGAAGAAAGGAGCTAAAGGTGTAGGGAAGGTGGGATGGGTAGGGGAAGGGTAATAAGGGAAAAGAAAAAAATGTGAGATAACGAAAAGATCAAAATAAAGTGTTTGTAGATGGGGAGGGGAAGAGGGGGTGAAGGGAGGGCAGAGACAAGGGGAAAAAATGAGAACCAAGACTTGTCATGTAAAGGTACAAGATCCCAACAATGAATGCAACTGTACTGTATCCCTAAAATGTACCAATAAACTCAATTAAAGTTGAAAAACTGGCAAATTTGACATATTTGCATCTTCATATAATTCTCTTTAGGAGCAAGGAATCCATCTGTTTATTTGTTCAAGTCTTAA